CAGATCATGCAATAGTAGAATGTTCTTTAGGTTTTTTAATGCAGCGAAATAGCTATTGGGTATTTATATTATATAAACCCAAAATACTAGAATAGGGTACATTAACAACATAGGCAAGCAATTGGCCTAAGGAGCAAAGGATGAAAATTGTAGCTAAGTGGGAGTTTGGATAAGAAAGAAAGGTTCCTCTGGTCTTTCTGACAATGCTTTAAATTCAAGATGCTAAATTTCAGTCAGTCTCAAGAGTGAATCTTCCCACACCTGTCCCTTGCCGGACAGTAAAACTTTTCAAATGCCACACACCAAGGTGGGAACTTTTGACAGTTGGCTCCTGTCCCGAAATTACTGCAACTCCCAGATCTCCTATGAGGTTGACTCAACAGCAGCTAACAACAAAAATAAAATGTATCCCAAAATTGTGATTGATGGCTGTTTCCTCAAACTATACCCGTCCCTCTTTCCCTTTGGCATCACCCACTTCTTTCTACCTGCAGCATCTCCACAGCTGATTTCAGTCCTCTCACAAAGTGAGGACTGTGGTATAATCACGAGGACTTTGGTTTCTTTCTCCCAGGGTGGCACAGTGGGGAAAGTCATTGCCTACAGCTCTTCTTGACTTGATGAGGGCAGGAGCTTGTCTCTCTTCACTGACCTTGTGGCAATTCATCCTTAGAGATTTCTGGGGATGGCAGGCCAGAGGAGGCCAGGGGAATGGCAAGGGTTGGAATTGGATTGTTGCCTCTGTCTCTGGGTCTGTCCAGACATGGTTTCTTGGCTACGCAAATGTACTGCCAGTTAGGAAGAATATTCCAAAGTATTCACTTCACTGAGCGCGCAAGATATTTGATAACATCCAACCTGCTGCTTACAGTTGATAAATTAAGTGCCTTGGGAAAGAGGCACCTGACTTATTCTGCAAGGCATCTAGTTGACAAGGTCCAATTGGAATTCTTGGAGGTTCTGGGAAGGGGAGACTTAACACTTCACACTTTGATTAAACCTGGAATTTGTTGCTTTTTGTATTCTAGTATGAAATGTTACATAGTAGCAAGCCTTCTTTCACACTTAATTTTTTTTGTTTGGCAACTTGAGATGGGCTCCGTATTCTACCATTTACCATATACCTGCCTTACTTGTATCATGATATTTAAAATTATAGTACACATAGATTATTCTTTTTACACCAATTCCATTACAAAAATGTATATGTTATGTGATTAGTATTCCTACAAATAAAGCAATGCATGTTGGATATAATTTGAATATGAAAGCAACAGACCAAGTTGCTTTGCTTGTGGGTTCAGCAAAAATAGATGAGAGATCTAGGATAGGACTTGACCCCCATCAACTCAGATTTGCTAGAGCAAAAGGAGGCACGTAGTAAGTGCTTAATGAATTGTGTCAAATACGTATTTGTTGCAGGAAGCCGTGGGGGGGGGGGGTTACCTGCATATATCAATGCTGGAAATAGCTCAGTGTGGAGGATATGGATGCCTAGGCACTGGCTTCCTCTGCCAGGCAAACAACGCAATAATAAGACCTTTCTTGGTACATGCCATTTGTCTTAGCCCATTGCTGGAATAACATGTGTGAAAACCTGCACTTTACCCTCTGCTAGACAGAAGGTCAGCCTAAGAGGGAGCTGATCCGTGGGCACAACACCATCTTTCCCCCAGGAGGCTGGGTCCTCGGTAAGCTCTGCTATATTATCTCACCAAGGATGACAGGTGGGACGAGCTGGGCACCAGTTGTTCTTTTCCACTGGTATCGTTTGGAGGGTAGCTCCAAAGTCGGGCACGCCGGCCTACGTGCTTCTCCTGCTGGTAAGAGCTTCACATTGGAGATATTAGAATGTGGGCTCTGTACATTAGCCAAGTCAAGTCTACGAGACTGTACCCGGAGCGTGGAACAGCCACAGGGCTACTGTACTGAGTTCAACATGAGAGTAGTCTTCTCATTCCACCTATCATTGGTAAGGCTGAGGTTCTAAGTCTTGATATTTAGTTTTATAACACAGTTTTTAAAGCATTACTACAAATGGAAATAAATTTAGCTTTGAGAATTTGACAAAAGCTCCTACCAGGGAGAGCTAGAACTGCTCTAAGATGCCATAAAGCTGTGGTCTCAAGTGATGTAAACATTTTCTAATTCTTCATCTTTCTCTTTGTGAGCTTTCCCCAGCACGCTGAACATGCCAACCAATCAGGTGTGGCTTTAGTATTGCTCTTTTCTTCTCCAACATGTCAGTATTGGTTCATTCAATTTGGACACTTTAGGTAAAACAAACAAACAAACCCAGTGTTATGCTGCAATAATAATCTTACATTTCGTTTTGAGTGTTCTTTCAGTCTTCTGACCTATTTTCGCATTGCTGCCTGCATTACTATTTCAGAGTTTTTATTAAAAACTGACCCAAAAGTATAGTGATATGTGAGTGTGTTGAAATGGAAAAACGATTTCTTATTAGAGGTGGGTCCAGCTTCTCATTTCTAAAAAGAAAATCAGATTATAAAGTTGCAATGTGTGTGGTATTAACAATAATCTCCTTATTAGTATAAACCTCATAATCTTTATTTACCAAAATGTTTTATCTCTCTTCCCAAAGGGAGTGGGGGATATACCCGTGCTTGCAATGTAGGATGCTGCTCTCAGGTAACAATAGTCCTCCACTGCCATCTAGTCGAGTCACACTCACGGTGTCCTGGTGGCACCAGGGGTTAAACATCGGGCTGCTAACCTCACGATCAGTGGCTCAAACTCAACAAAGTTTCTTTGGGAGAAAGATGATTCTCTGTGTACCCTTAAAGATTTACAGTCTCAGGAACCCTATGGAGCAGTTCTATTGATCTATAGGTTATCTGTAAGTCCACAATAGTGTGTAAATAAGAACTAAATGATCCCTCTATGAGACATTTGACTAAGAAAAGGGACTAGACTGGCTTTCCATCTCTATACGATATTAAAAATAAAATTATTAAAGTAATTATATTAGCACAAGCATCCAATATTCATTTACTTAATAATTATTTTGTCATACTTTTTCAAAGGTTTCTTAAAATAAAGATTTTGAAGCAGTAAGACATTCGCAAGTTTAAAACCTTGTGTGTGAAATATCTGCTCTTCTCTTTATCCCTTTCTCAAGAACTCTTTGGGGGAAAGACCTATACACTGGATCTGTGAAAGAAGACCATATTTTTCATATAGCATTTCTCCACTAACGACGAATTCCGTTACCATCATCCCCATGTTTAGTTAACCACTTGGAAGAATTTAGTCATGGTGAAATTCATGAAGCGGTCAGAAATATCACAGCCTTTGAATGTGAACCCTAAGAAAGTTCTGGTTCTTCATGCTGGGACCTTGGTGAATTGCAGTGTAATATGTATAGGAAGATTTAAAATATGCAGTTGAAAAGGCAAACAATAGCAACAAAGGTTTTCACTGTACCCTGTGCTGATGAAGAACGGTGAGTTCAGGTTTGATCAATTGTATTGAGATAGTTCCACTAACATGCATATAAAGGAAAGTGCAGAAGTGCTATATGACAATATGGTCACCTGAATGTGAGAATTATCTTCTGTACATGGAGATGACGGTCAATGAATCCATAGAGGACAGTCCCTGGATTACAAATTAGTTAAAAGGACTTCTGCAAGGTCCCCTAGCACAATAATGACAATGCCAGTCAGCACTGAAGTCCGAGTGGGAACCTTCGTTACTAGTCCCTACCCTTTCTGCAATTGACCCTGAACTTCATGTGCTGAGGGTTTGGGATAGCCAGGGCAGGCCTCTCTCATAAATCCTTTTCCTCTTGGGACTCTTGCCCCGCCCCACACCCCACCACCACCACCACATTACAAAGTAGCTAATAGAAGCTAGTCTAGAGCCATGCTAGTAGGGCAAAATTAATGCATACACAATGAGTTGAATTCCTAATACTGTTTATTCAGTGAGTGGGAAGTTAAAAAATGCTGTACTATGAACAAAATAACCCACCTTTTATAAAAATATTATCCGAAACTTTCATTGTCATTTCCCTTTTGATTTGGATGTAATGTCAGGTCTCACCAGTTTTCCTGAATGTCTGAAAATACTTTTTTATCCTCTTTGTCTTCTGGTTTGATAAAGAGCATCAGTGTTGGGGATTAATAAGGAGGCGGAGGAGATCTCCAGATCTCAGTCCTTCATTCAAGAGGTCAAATGAGCAAAGTGAATTTCAGGGAAATCACAATAGCATGACCCAGTTTTTAATGGTAAGTCTCTGCTCCAAGGACCACTCACTCTTTCAAATTATACCCTGTGCTCAGGCAACAGAGGATCTGAAGAAAAGTGTGACTTTATTGGAACATACACACGTACTGGTGCCTTAGCCACGCTGGAGGCCAGTTAGTATAATGTGTATTTCACATAAAGACTGTCATTGATGCTGGGTGGCACCGAGTGTGCAACAAAAACAGGATGAGCCCACAGTGCAAAAGTGGAAAACTAGATGGGTGGGTGGGTGGGTGGGTGGGTAGGAACTTGGAAATGGAAAATGTGCTTCCCTGGGGACATAGTTTATGCTCATTAGCCCTTGCCTCCCTCTAGCGCTGTGAGCTGATGTTGACGCCAAAGCTTACTGAGAAACTGAATAGCCCCGCCCACTCCCATCAGCCAGAGAAAAGGATAAGACCACCCAACTCAGTGATGCTGTGGCCAGAACCACATGTTTAATATTTACCATGGGTTCAAAGTTTTCTTGCCATAGGAACAAGAACTTCAGCAATTCAAGTCAACATGTGCTTCCCTTAAACCATTGTGTCTACCTCCAAATATAAATATGGGTGGTGCCACGGGTGGTGGGAAGTCATGCCATAGATAAAAGTTTATGCAAATAATACTCCAAAACTAATATTCTCCACTCAAAATGAAATGGAAATTTTCTACTCAGTACCTCCTAGGTTCCATTACTATTTTTTGGTAAATATTTCTGGGGAAAATAATTTCTGTTTTCATTCCAGCTGTGTGGCAGATACTGTGATGGATTGCAAGTGCAAAAAGTAAGACACCCTTCCAGCATACAAAGGACAATGACAACCAGGAAGCTTCCGCCAGCTCCTGTCCTTTCCTTGAAAGGAACTGGGGCCTAGGAGCTGAAGACATTTGCAAACTTGTAGTCCTCTGCCTCCCTCTGCTGTTATTCTTGAGAAGCGTTTTTTCCTCACAACAATGAGAAATCATGTACTAGCTGCATCCTTTTCTATGCTCTCCCTACTGGCGATAATGGGAGATACAGACAGCAAAACTGACAGCTCCTTCATGATGGACTCGGATCCTCGACGCTGCATGAGGCACCACTATGTTGATTCTATCAGTCACCCATTGTACAAGTGTAGCTCAAAGGTAAGGCCAACGTCTCTGTGAGGATGGTAGTCCTGGAAACATGAGAGGAGACATGTCTTGGGTCGGGGTGGGAAACTATGATCATCAGCCTACTCTAAGCTACGTGGCCAGTTTGTGGGAGGATCATGCCTTTAGGCTTGTGCATAACACTGTGCTTTTGTCATTGTTACGATGTGTCGTTGAATCAGTTCCAAATCATGATGATCTGTTGCAGCCACCGGGTTAATTCGTCTTTATGAAGGCCTTCTTCGCTAATGCGCTACTTTAAAGTAGAATTAAGTACAGCCAGAGTGCGCTTCAGAGGCAACGATAGGGAGACTGTCTCATGCTGTCTCATACTTTGGACATGCTGTGAGGGGACACCAGTTCCTGGAGAAGGACATCACAATTGGCAAAGTAGAGGTGAAGTGAAAATGAGGAAGGCCATCCACAAGACGGATTGACACAGTGGCTGCCACGAAGGGCTCAAACCTAAGAACAATTGTGAGGCTGGCGCAGGAATGTGCAAAGTTTCATTATGTTGTAAATAGGAGAGCTAGGAGTAAACATCAACTCAATGGCACTCAAGGATAACAACTGCTTTACAAAGCAGTATATGCTTCTCCAGGATCAAGGTCTTCTGATAGCATGTTCAAAGTCTTAAGATGAAGTCTCATCACCCCTTTCTTCTAGGGAACATTCTGGCTGTACTTCTTTCAAAACAAATTTGTTTGTTCTTCGGAATGTTCATAGTATATTCAATATTCTTCACCAACACCATCATTCAAAGAAACCAATATTTCTTCAGTCTTCCTTATTCATTTTCCAGATTTCATACAAATATGAGGAAAATGAAAATGCATGACTGGGGTCAGGCACACCTTAGCGACATATTTGTTTTTATCACTTCAAGAGGTCTTGTGCAGCAGATTGGCCCAATTCGTTATGTTGTTTGATTTCTTGACTGCTGCTTCCATGAGCATCGATTGTGGTTCCAAGCAAAATTAAATTCTTGGCAGCTTCAATCCTTTCTCCATTTACCATGACATTGGTGATTGGCTCATTTGTGAAGATTGTTTTTTCCATTGGAGTTGTACTCCATCAGCAAGTGCTTTTCAGCCAAGACCCATCTGATATTAGCCATGATATCCCATGTTCCATGTACTCTTCTGAATCTAGCTTAAATTTCTGGCAGGCCTGTTCATGCACCCAGTTTTCATTTTCTTCAGCAACATTTTACTTGGATATGATATTGAGAATTGTTCAATAATTTATGCATCCTGTTGGGTTATTTTTCTTAGGAATAAGCACACACATGGATCTCTTTAAGCTGGTTCCTAAATAACAGTTTTCCAAATCTCCTGTTGTAGACTGCATCCATATGTTTAAAGATGTCAGTTAGTATGCCATGAGTTCCTGTCGTCTTGTCCTTGTCAATGCTTTCAGTGCAGCTTGGATTTCTTCCTCCGTTGGTTCCTGAGATGGTCTCTAAGTTCAGGTAGGATATATATACTCAAGGATGTGCATTGGCTTTCATGGACTTGTTTTATTGTTCTCAGTTTTAATCTGATTTGCATTTCAGCAAATGATGGTCTGTTTCACAATCAGTTAGGTCGATTTTAACTGGTGTTGAGCTTCTCCATTGTCTCTTTCCACAAATACAGTTGACCTGATTGTTGCGTATTGCAAGGCACATGTGTGTTCACACCATTTATGTTACTGCTAAGATATTTTTTGCAATGACTTCCAAAATTGATGTTAAAAAATTCTATCATGAGATCTCCAGCATTATTTCTATCACCAGGATCATATTTTCCAAATACCAGTCCTTCTTCTTTATATCCAATACATCAGCTTGATTCCATGTTTGATTAATTTCAAACTGCAGAAATTGATAAAAATCTCCAACTTATTAATCTTTGATATTAGTGGTTTGTGTTTAAAATTGAACTGAAATAGTATTAACTGCTCTTCCTTGTAGGTATATGGATACCATCGTATTACTGACAGTGTTGTACTTCAGGATAGTTTTTTTTTTAAGTGTGAAAAGTTTTTCAAGACAGATTTTTATGATTTTACAATAGTGATCTCGATTGTCCTTTTGTGATGGACTAATTTCACTCAGCATTGTATCATACAAGTTCATCTCTGTTATGAGGTGTTTTCCAGATTCATTGTTATTCTTGAAGGTTGTGTAATATTCCATGGTGTGTATATACCAAAATTTGCTTATTCATCTTTCCTTTAATGAGCATGAAGGTCATTTCCATCTTTTTGCTGTTGTGACTCCAGAGACAGATCTTGAAATGTTCTTTATGATGATCAATATGACATCATTTGTCATTCCATCATTTGTCATTCCATATATGGTAGACCAGATGATTGTGTTCCATTTCATTTTTGATGGCTTCCAATTTTCCTAGATACATATTGTATAACCTATGTTTGGATTACTGATAAATGTTTGCAGTTGTGTATTTTTATTTTGAGTCATACTACATCAGCAGATGAAGATCTGAAAAGGTTTAATCCATCCACATCAAGGTTAACTCTCCTTTGAGTATGCAGACTTCCCCAGTCATATTCTGAGTGCCTTCCAACCTCAGGGGTTCATCTCTGGCCCCATATCAGACAATGATCTGATAATATTCATAATATTTTCACTGCTCAGTTTTTCAAAAGTAGTTTCCCAGGTTCTCCATTCTAGTTTGTTTTAGTCTGGAAGCTCTGCGGAAATGTGTCCACTATAAATGTGCTGGTATTTGAGACATCAGTATCATAGCATCACAACAAGACACAAGACACAGAAAAGCAAAATGACAGATTCTTGTCTTTTGGATCTTGTCACTAACGCTTCCTAATTGACCATTTCCACAATCACCCAGTTTCTCTCCCTCCCACTTTCATACCAATTTACTAGGATCTAATCTAGACAGCATACCACTCCATAGTTGAATTATTTCGAGCAGTGTTGTATAAGCACAACCACAACCAATTTAAAAACATTTTCTTCCATCTTGTACTCCTTCATATCAGTTCCCCATTTCCCTCCTCCACCTCCCGTGACATAACACCCTCCCCTCCCCTCCCCCAGAACTCTTATTCTAGTTATTGTCTTTATAGATTCATCCATCCTGGGCATCATATACTAAAAAACAGAAAAATACATAACAGAGAGTCAAAAAAGCTACCAACAATGACAAAATACAACAGAGATAAATTCTATATGAAGAAAAAAAACCCCAGCAAATATTAAAAACCAGATCAAGCACAAAGTGTATCAAAAGGGAGACCAGGAAAAAAAAAGGGAGACCAGATAACAAAGTTTTAGTCATTCAATTCAGAGATATACTTTTAATATATTGTAGTCATCTCTACAACACTGTATCTGATCACCAAGCTATTCACAGTCCTCAATTATGGTTAGAGGAAAATCACCAGAGGTAGCCTTTCCCTTTTCAGGCTACTCGAAGCCAATGAAGAGTAGTTCTGGTGGCATAGTGAGTTACATGTTGAGCTATTAACCGGCAAGGTCAGTAGTTTGAACTCTCCTTTGGAGAAAGATGAAGCTTTCTGCTCCATTAAAGATTTCCAGCCTCGCCGAAGTTAAACAAGCAGCCATCTAGCAAGGGAGAAACAAAGGCCACATGGAAGAAGCACATCAACCCGTGTGATCACAAGGTGTCAACGGGATCAGGTATCAGGCAAAAGAAGACCCCAAACAAGCAATTGCATCCATGTGAACGAGAGGGATCAGAGTGGAGACCCAAAGCCTATCTGTAGACAACTGGACATCCCCTCACAAAAGGGTCAAAAGGTAGGGACCAGCCAGCCAGGGTGCAGTATAGCACCAACAAAACACATAGCATTCCTCTCATTCTTTATTGCTTCCTAACCCCACCCCACCCCCACTATCATGACCCCAGTTCTATCTTGCAAATCTGGCTAGAGAAGAGCACGTACACTGGTACAGATAAGAGCGCTCAACACCCAGAATCCAGGACAGATAAACCCCTCAGGAACAATAATGAGAGTAGCGATACCATGAGGGTAGGGGGAAGGGTTATAGGGGGGAGAAGGGGAGAAAAGGGCACCTATCATAATGATTGATATACAACCACCCCCACCCCCACCCCCAGGGGGACAAACAACAGAAAAGTGGGTGAAGGGAGACAGTGGACGGTGTAAAATATGAAAATAAAATAATTCATAAATTATCAAGGGGTCATGAAGGTTGGAGGGTGGGGGAGGGAGGGGGGATAAAGAGGAACTGATGCCAAGGGCTCAAGTAGAAAGAAAATGTTTTGGAAATGATGGCAACATATGTACAAATGTGCTTGACGCAATTGATGTATGGATCGTGATAAGAGCTGTAAGAGCCTCCAATAATATGATTCATTAAAATTAAACATACATCTATAAAGATTTCCAACCTCAGAAACCCACAGTTCTAGTTTGTCCTGTCCTATAGAGTTGCTTTGAGTCAGATTCTGCTGGATGATCATGAGAAAAGTCAGTAGTGAGGACTAAAATGTTCTGACAATAAAATTATTGTTAAACATAAAGAGATGAAGCGTATTTCTCCCTGGCTGTTAAATTTATGAGAAAAAAGTGTCCTTTTTTAAGAAAAAAATGAAGCATTCCAGTCATTGTGACTCCTTTAACCTCGAGTAGGTATAAAAAGGGAGAGAGTCAAGGTATATGCCAAACAACACGGTTAGCAGCAGGTCTTCTTATTTATGTTGCATTATTTGTAGTTTATGTGATTGTGGCTTTCACCAAAGTAAAATGATTTCAAAAAAGGAGATAGCCATTGGATCATTTATCATCTTTAATTGATTATCTAACACATTCTATCTTGGATTAGGCTGCATACATTTTGAGCAAACAACCTCATATAAATGATGCTTTAGTTTTGAGATGAGGTGTGTAATAAAGAATACTATGCTTAGAAGTTCAACAAAATGGCCTGCCAGTTGGACCACCCAGAAAAGAGATACAGAGTCAGAGAGAAATGGATT